AAAAAAAAATGCTTTGCATTTCTTCCAGTGCAATGAAATTCATATGGCGTCCCACCTTATTTAATGATGGTACAATTTAAAATATTCAAATCTTAGTCAATCTCTGTAGGAAGTTTTCTCTATGAAAGTAAAAGCTGTTTGAGAAATTATTTTTTTACAGATCTTTTTATTAAAAAAATAAACATCTTTTGATTGCTTGGGGGAAAAAAAGAAGTGGGCGTGAGCATCTTTCATCTTGGTTGATGGAATTGCTTTTATTTTATTATTTTTAATATCTTCTAATAACCCAAGGATGTTTGTGCAGTTTTTTCTTTTTTTTTCTTTTTTATAAGGTCTTTCTTTTTTTTTTAACCTGGATTATATGCTCATGAATTTAGGTCCATTTTTTTATGATTGCGTAGTCATAATCCTAATTTGGTATTTATAGTTGTATTAATAGTACTTTCCCGTTCTCTTTGAAATCCATGGTATCTTTTTTTTAAAAAAAAAATTATTGCCTTTTCCTTAATGCAACTTATCTGCTGATCAATTTTTGTTCCACTCTCTCCATTCTCATCCCTGTGAACCTTTCAAGATTGGTTCAGCTTGTGTGTGAACCTTTCCTTAGTTCTTTATCTTGTAGTTGTTAGGTGCAATTGAGTCAAGTTTGACTCAAAGCAACACTAACAAACAGCCGACCTGAGCCCTGCCCTGGTCTGTGCCGACCTCGTCATCTCTGGCACACTACACCCATTGCTGAAGTCATCATGTCACTTCATCTCCTTCGCTGACCCTCCATCTTTCCAAGTAGGATGTCCCTTTCCAAAGAATAGCTTCACCTAACTTCAGGTGCAAAGTACAAAAGAGAAAGCTTTGCCATTTTTACCTTTAAGTAGCTACTTTATATTCCAATTATACATTTTTTCAACTGATTTATGTTACTCTGTATAATTGATCCTAGATTATCCATGTTTTGGAGTATTTCACTAATTCTTGATGATCTTATAGTAATGCACAATACTATGTTGTGATACCTTTAGCCATCTGTCCATTGATGGGCACTTGGTTTGTTTCCAACCCTTTTCTATTGTATATAATGCTACCATAAACATAGATGTGAGTATTTAAGTTTGTGTTGCAGCTCTTCTTTCTTTGGGATACATATCTGCTGGTGGGATTGTTAGATCAAATAGTATTTCTAGTCCCAATTTTAAAGGAAGCACCAAACTGCTTTCCTTCCATAGCAGTTGTACTGTGTTTATTATTTGGGTTTGTTTGTTTTGGTGTTTTTTTTAATTAATTCTGCCTTTGTGAGTTTTGTGAATCATTCCAGAATTCTTTTCCTTTAAGAGACGTTCCTGTATCTTTACACATTCCCTTGCATAATTTATTGTTCTTTACACATTCTTCCCCGTGTCTCTTACTTTTTGTGAACTTAAAAAGCTAAAATAAACTGTGATCTGAGTGAAAGTTTACAGAGCAGACAGGTACTCCACTCAGCCATTCATACAGATTTGGTTGTGTGACATGGATTACAATCCCCATATCAAAACAGCATTTTTTCTGCTTTCTCTATCTCAGTCTTGTCTCTATTCATCTTCCTAACTTTTCTTTCTTCCTGCCTTCTGCGCTTTATCTCAAGGCGTAAGCTCCCATTTGAAGATTGTGTGGAGATTGATTGTTATAAAGACAGAGTATCTACTGTTATTGGTCACCTTATTGATTTGTCTATTGTTGGTCACCTTATTGATTTGTCTATTGTTAAGCTGAATGCTGTCTTGAGTTAGTTCAGTTCCAGGCTCAAATGATGTCAAAGGTCATAGCATCAAAGAGTGATTTCACCAGTCTCTAGATGGCAAGCCTGGCCGTTTGTGTGAATTTGAATTTTATTCCACATTATCTCCCTCGCTCTATCCAGGACTCTCTATTGTTCCCTTCCAGAGCAATCTGCAGTGGTAACCAGACACGATGTAGCTCTTCTGATCTCCCAAGCTGGGTTCAAGAAATTTTTTCCAAGCACCTTTGATTTTCTTCACTTGTTTTTGCTCCAGACAGGGAGAAACCAATGGTTACATCTTAAAAGGCCACTTGTAAGTTTCTAAGACCCTAGTTTGTTCCTACCAATGTGGAGTATACCCACCTTGTCTCTGTGGGCCACGTTATGCCAATTGACATCGATGTTCGCCTGAGCTCTTAGGATTAGCAACTCGATCCCTCAAGGTGAATAGAGTTAAGAAATTGACATGACTGTAGTCCACCAACAGTGTATGAGAATTCCTATCTCTCCCCATCCTCTCCTACATTTATTGCTTGCTGTCCTGTTAAACTTAGCCATTTCTACTGGGGTGAGATGGTATCTCATTATGGTTTTGATTTGCATGTCTCTTATTTCCAGTGATTTTGAGCATTTCTTCATATATCTGTTGGTCATTCAAATGTCTTTCTTTGTGGAAAAATCTTTCCATGTCTTTTGCCCATTTTGATATTGGGTTATCAAGTCTTTTACTTGTGGAGGTCTTATAGTATTCTGTTAACTTTCACTATGAGAACTTTGTCTCAGATGTAATTTCCAAATTTTTTTGGCAGTCAGTAGCTAGTAGGTTTTGTTTTTACTCTGGTGGAAAATTCTTGATGCACACAGGGACTTAATCTTTAGAAGGTCCCAATCATCGATGTTAGGGTTGCGCATTTCTGGCTATATTTGCCAGTCTATTTATATCACAGGCGAGGCCTTCTAACTTCTAAGTTCAGTCCCATTTTGTCTCTTTCGATCTTTATGGTTTGGGGCTTTTCTCTGATCCACCTTGAGTTGATTTTGTATATGGTGTGAGATGTGAATTGAGCCCAGTAGTTTAAGTACAACATGGAAAGTTATGTGTTAAGAGTAAGAGTTCTCACAGTGATTTTGTTTATCCCTAATTGGATTTCTCTGGGACTCTTGTGGTACCCACAGAATATGCATCTCAGGCATATTTGACAAAAGGAAGAATTCTCAAGCTAACTGAGGAACCTTCATCTCTTTAGCAGCCTCTTCGTCCTATCAATGAGGTTGTTTTACTTCTCAGTCCTTCGAGATCTTGTCTTCATTTCATTACTAATTAAACTCATTTATACAGAGTCATAAACTAATTACTTGAGGTAAAATTACTGAGATATGTATCTCATACCACAATCTTTTGAAACTCTGGGCAATTTAAGAGTTTGTGTGTTAATCTTTATTAGAATGTAAAGGAAGGGACTGATAGAAAATTAAACACTTCTACATCCCAGTTGCACAGGTTTGGTTTCAGTTCAACTAAAAATTTAAGAAATTATCATTTCACCAGTTCTTTTATTTCCTTACACTGCTTATAGGACCAAACTGGACTTGGTTAGAATTCAGTTCAAAGTTCCCATGCTATTTAAAAAGCATTTTCATTTCGTAAACACTTTTCTTTTTCTGGTAAGGTCATCACTGGTGAAAATGGCAGCATGAGACTTTCTTTTTTTGTGAACTGTGCATTTGATTCCTAATGATTGGTGATAACTTGATTTTAATAGAATGAATAGAGTCTTGAGTATTCTTAGTCAAGAAGAACAATGATGTTAGTATTATATAAATATTTTACCCTGTCGGGTTAGTAAATGCTTTGTTAATTAGCTGGTCGACATTTCTGTCCAAGTTGCATCTTAGGTAAAGGAAGCTTTAAAAGAACATCCTCAAGGAAACTTTTGCAAACAACTTGTGTTTTGGGCAATAAATAGCTCAAAATATCCTACAGAAATATTAACAATTAAACTATTAGGAAAGATTTAAACCTGGTTGTAAAAACTCATAACTTTTCTTTTTCCTCAGGAATTGTGGATTTGTACAAAGAACTAGAATTTGGTTTTGCTGTTCATGAGCCAGAACTGTAACTACTTAATTCCTGTGATCCTGAAGGCTGAATCTGTTTCACTGTCATCAGTTTATACCTACGTTAAAGAACAGATTTTCGAATGTTCTCTGTTCTTGAACCTTGCTTCTATATTGGGGTAAATGAAGTAACAGCTGCTTTGCTCTGTTCAGCTCCTGGGCTACTGGGATCCAGCAGATGATGGGATGCATTCAGAGAAGAGTGGATCAGCTAACTCAACAGTGTTCAGCTCACCAGGAATTTGCTCTCAAGAAGCAACAATTAACAGCCGCAGTGGAGGACTACCTAAGGAAGGTAGTGTCATAAATTGTGTCCTCCTCAAGCTATACTCAAGTTAACTACTCTCAATTCATTAGCAAAGAGATCTTTTTCCAATTTGATAATAATAGTTATGTGTCAACTGCAGTATTTGGGCATAGTGGGAGAACAGGAGTTTGTCTCCTTAAGCTTCTCCTGTATTCTGCATTCAGTTTTATATTTTAACTAAACAAGGTTGTAATTCATTCTTACTCATCAACCATCACTGCTCTAAATTACAAAAATAGAGATATAACCTTACATGGCCACACTAAGGGAACAAACAAGCATGTCTTAGAGAAGATGTGGCCACAATGTTCCTTGGAGACAAAGATGTTCAAGGTTTGTCTTATATATTCTGGGCATGTTACTACTAGGAGAGGCTATTCCTTGGTGAGGGATCTCATGCTTGGGAAGGTAGAAGGACACAATGACTGAGCAGTAGGCTTAAGTGATTAGAGATGATGAAGGTGACATAGGGTAGGACTGAGTTCAGATCTGATGTTCATAGGATCACTGTGAGTCATATTCCACAGCACCTCACAACAAGTCATACCAGCCTTGTGTATGTCTGTATAAACACACACAGACACCTCTCTCTCTCTCTCTACACACACACACACACACACACACACACACACACACGATCTCTGGTGGCCTAGTGGCAAGAAGTTGTGCTGCAATCCTGAAGGCACATAGTTTGAGGCCACCAGTTGCTCTGTGAGAGAAGGACAGTGTTCTCCTGTGTGATTAACTGCCTCTGTAAACCCATCAGAGGGTCAGCTATGGGTTGGTTCTGACTCTATGTTACACAGCAAGCGTATATACATACTCTTTGTGTGCTTGTGTGTGACAGACATTCCTAGACACTCAGTGGAGGGTCAGGGACAGCTACAAGTCAGTTCCAACTCGATGGCAGAGAGTGTGAATTTTGATATTACCTGAGATGTGAACACTTAGAATTCTATCATCAGCATCCTGGGTTCTGTGCATGGTTCTCATACGTATATGTTTCAGTTAACCTGGTGCTGTGTGAAGTGAGCACTGCCATTTGATAGGGAGATAAATTGATACCCCAATTACTAATTTTAAATTTCTTTTTCCAGTTGATAGCAATCCCACTACTACATAGGCTAGATCTCATATATTCAATGATTTTTCACTTGATGCAATGGATAGACATGCCGTGTCTCTATTTAAATTGCCTTCCCACCTGTTATTGATTCAAATACTTGGGAATTTGAGGCTTGTTCTGATGACTAGGGAGATTCCAAACATGGCGCAGCTGTGGGGTGCCTACATTCCCTAGAGCTTGAGACTCAAGCTAATTCTGTCATGGTGAAAACACAGTAGGAACGCAAACAGCTGCGACTATCCGTCCCATTGCTAATTGGAAGTATTTTGACTCTGAAATATGGACTCTAGTTAAAGTAGAGAGATGAAGGAAGTAACATGAATGCATTGAAAACCACCACTGGTTATCTTATTCCTTAATTCATATGTACTGATGATTAAATCATACTACTCTAAAGTAACTGATTGAATGGTTTAGTCTGTCCTTGTGTTTTACTATCATGTGTACATGACTGGGTGCTGCCCCACAGTTCCTTAGCCCTAAATTCAGCAACCCACAGGGTTGAGTTCTGGACTTTCACTTCAAACTGCCCCTGCAAATTGAGCATCATTCAACTTAGAAGGGATGAGGATACAATGATTTATATTCATTATTTCTGCTGGTGTATTGGGGAATACATAATACATTATCCTTTTTGGATAATACAGATATGTTCTTAGAGGATGTAGATGATATTTTATTGGTCACTTTTAGGGTCACTATGAGTTGTAGTCAACTTGACAGCACATAACAACAACAACAACATTAACAAAAGAAATACCAAGTTTTGATGGGTATTATTACTGTATTCGAACCTACTCATAGCTGACCCTCCAGAGGGTTTTTCAGATGCAGTAAATCACATGGGAGATTGCCCATTCTTTTCCAGCAGAGCAGCTGGTGGATTCAAACCACTTGCCTTTAGTGTTGGCGGCACAACTCCTTACCACTAAGCCACAGGAGCTCTCTAATATATGCCTCCATGTGTGCAACCATTAAGATTGTATTTTTTTAATATAGTGTTTATATGTAATTTGTTTTTATATTTTATATACATTCACATTTTATATCATTATTTATAAAGGTGGAAATGACAATTCAGAAAGTCAGCCCAATACTTTCCAATGCAATAGATGTTGGTTCCAGCCTATCTGAATCAGAGAAGATTTTGAGTAAATATCTGGAACTGGATATTCAAATTAAGGTAAGTGAAAGAATCATCTTTGCGGCCATGATTTTGCAAATAGAATTTATCTTCTTCAGATTCCATAACTATGAAGCTTCATTCTACTCCCTTCTGAGTTATGATTTTAGATTCTTATTATAGCAAATAATGACTTAAAAACTAATTTGTGTACCAAATGAAACTCAGCATTACTACATGAAATTAAACATATTTGACATTTTACTTGCCACTTGATCTTAGCAAAGCCTTCTGGGAATGGTAGAGAAAGCTAAGAGGGTGCTTCTCAAAGACAGTGTGTGCTTTTCTGCTAGAGCAAATTGCAACAATAACAACAACAATAAAACGCCACAAGTCCATGCATAGCTGAGCCAGATTTAAGAAGGCAAATAAAAATATAGCTTGTCTGCTCACCTATTGTTCAGAGACAGAAAATGCTCCTTTTCTCCCTACCACTTTCTCTAGAGCTCGCCTTCTTGTTGTGTGGGATTTAGGTAGAAAAATTCCCATTAGCACTGAAATTACCTGTCTGCCCTAGAAAGTGTTTAGAAAGGTGAGTAAAGTTCCCTCCCTCCTGTCGCTTGTGGACAGGCAGGAAATTGCCTTGTTGCTTTGCCAGTTCTTAGGATAATAACCTCAAACCGCCCCCTCCCACCTGAAACTCACAGATGAACCAATTTGTTTAAAAAAATAATTTCCTTGATGACTTGTTTTTCATTTCTTATTTTAAATACTTAAAATAAAATTTATATCTGGACTCAGTTTCTTTTATTTTAAAATATTTCAGAGTAGGGAAGGAAATTGCATGAGTGCAACCAGGAAGTAGCACATTTAAATTAAAATTGCCTTCAATCAAGGATGTACTTGGGACTCATAGTAAATGCAAGAAGGGAAGCTGTTAGATATAAAAAAGAGCACAAGGGCACAAGGGAGAAAATAAAGAAAAGAATTGGTCCCAAGAAACGAACAGGCCTTTATTGCGTGGTCTGAGAGAGACAGACACCAATTGACCTGGCCTCATGGCAGGATCATGCAGACAGGATCAAAATGGCGCCAGCAGTTTGGGGGGTTTCCTTTTTATAGGGGTTCTGGGGAGGACTAACATGGTACTTCTCGGAATTAGGCGTGTTAATTTAGTTAGGTTTTAGGAGTCTGGGTTGTTGTTTTTGTTTTTTTTTTCTCAAGCTCAGACTCTTATCAGGATCCATTGTCTGGTCTGGTCTTTGATGTGACCAGCTCAGGTGTTAAGTTTCTCAGCAAGTGATTAAGTTTGGGGGTGGTGGGGCAACTGCCATATTTTTCCTTAAGAAGCAATCCTTATTTGCTGCAAATGAGAGTGAAGCTTTTTCCTTTGATTTTTGCCTGGTTCCTCTCTTGGTCTCCAACTGTAATTATATATAACCTTTTTTAATAAAAATTGTATATGTGATGCCTACAATATCCACTCATCCATCTAACTAGAGGTTAGTTTTCATGTCAGAAATTGCCCTCCAAAGAATTCATGGCAGAGCGTCCCCGAGCAGATCAACATCAGTAATTCTTTTAAGTTACTTAGACTTATGTAGCTTTTCCACTCTGCTCATTTAAAAGTCCCTTCTTATAGAGAATAACCAATAAGACTGCATAATTATGTCTTTTCTCTTTTTTGTAAATTGAAAACTGAGTAACTGTTGTAAATTTGCCAACTCTTACTCTGGGCATGTTGCAAGGAGGGTCCAGTCCTTGGAAAAGGATGTGCTTGGAAGGGTGGAGGGACAGCGCAGGAGAGGAAGGCACTAGATGAGATGGATTGACACAGTAACTGGTGTACTGGGGGCCAGTGTGTCGGAGACTGTGAAATTGGCTCAGGTTAAGCAGGGTTCAGAGCTATTGTGCATAGGGTTGCTATGAGTTATAGTCGACTCAATGGCACATACACAACATATGACAAAATTTGCTTAAGAATTTGCTGCACTGCAATTTTGAAGGCATGCAGTTCAAATCCACTATCTGCTCTGCAGGAGAAGGATGGGCAATCTCCTCCCATGGGATTAACTGCCTCTGAAAACCCGCTGAAGGAATGGTCATCTGTGGGTCCAGTCTGACTTGATGGTACACAGGAACCACAACATTGTTAAATTTCATAAAGTGGTTCCCAAGTATAATCATGGTTCTGACATTTTGCTTCACTAACTTTTGTCCACACCACTTTTATTCTGTTTGTGATACAGAAAACAGAATGCGTTAAATAAGAGATATAGCAGATAGAGCTAAAGGATAATTTTAGATGACTTTCATTTTATGTTGGTTTTATTTTGAAATTTTGGATGCTGGTGCTTTTCTCTTTCTGAGAAGAATCTTGGTGCAAATTCAGTTAGTAATTATAATAGATGGATGTGAAGAAGGTAATGAAAGTGAATGTTCGTGATTCCCTAGTCAGCCTCTGACTGACCTCCTATGCTTTACTTTCAATAGGAAACCTCACATGAATTAGAAGCGGCTGTAAAAATCATGACAGAGATAAATGAGTGTGTACCTGATGAAGTGGCATCACTTTCTTCTAAGACTAAATGGCTAGAGGAAGAATTAAAAATAATTGGCCAGCGCATTGGCTTCAGGTCACAAGTCATGCGAACACATGTAACATTTCTGAAGTCATCAGAAGAGGTATAGTGTTAATGGGAAAATTGTCTGCAGCAAGGGGGCACCTGCCCATCTTTTCTACTTTCTGTGGGAAGATAAATTATACCTTGGTGGATAGTTCCTTGTTCTCCACCTGTTACTGAACACAAGTAGTCTGTAGTCAACCGTCAATAAGACAAACATATTGTAATATCCATAAGCACATTATTGTGCAGATCTGGGAGACAGCGAGTCACCTCCAAGACTGCCTCCCCGGCTGGGAGTGGTCATTGGGTTTTATAGTAGAGTGAGACTCTAGCTCATTTAACAATGCACTTTTGTTAGTAAAAAGAAGTCATTTCTACATCTGAAAAAATAGTTCATATTTAAGTACTAATAAGCAAAGACATCAGGCTGGAGACTAAGGTGTGCCTGATCTGGGCTATAGTCTTTGCAATTACATGCTATGCATCAGAGAGTTGGACAGTAAATAGGGATGATAGGAAGAGAATTGATGCCTTTGAGCTGTGGTGCTGGAGAAGAGTGTTGAATATACCATGGACTGCTAGGAGAACAAACAGGTTTGTTCTGGAGAAGGTGAAGTCAGAATGCTCCTTGGAGTCAAGGATTCTGAAGCTTCGTCTGACATACTTTGGGCATGCTGCAAGGAGGGACTGGTCCTTGGAGAGGGACATCATGTTTGGAAGAATGGAGGGACAGTGTAGGAGAGGAAGACCCTCGGTGAGATGGATCAATTCTGTGACTGGAGTGGTGGGATGAGTGCGTTTGAGATGGCTAGGTTGGCACAGGATAGAATGGCCTTAGGGATGGCACATAACAACAACAATTCAGGAGGGGCACAGACCCCTTCCTGGTAAACAGGCAGATTAAGATGCAATTTACATATGACTGGGAAACATCCTCAGAGAGACCTAGGAGAGATGCATTTCCACTTCTGGTAAACAGACAGATCAAACTACTTTATATGACTGAAGACAGGAAGCAGAGAATTTGGAGACTAAGTAACTAGTTTTGCAGGCTGAAGAAAACTGATGTTAGTTTTATAATTATATAACTATAGTTTTATAACTGATGCATATATAGAGAATTCTGAACTTAATACCATTATTAATATCATTACCCCTCTTTTTATGTAAGTCATATCTATAAGACAAACATACCACCCCATCACACCCACAATGAGCGTTAACTTGTGTATAGCTCCTTTTTTATTCTTTAAGACACAGGACCTAGTCCATGGTTATGGATTTTATTATGAGTCATGGCAACAGCATGTGTATCAATGTGGAACTGTAATTTATAGTCTTTTTTGAACAAACTGTTTCTTCTGAGATTCTCTAGGTGGACTCAAACATCCAACCTTTTGCTCAGCACCTGAGAGCATTCACTCTTTGTGCCACCCAGGAACTCCAAGGCACCAGAGAGGAAACATATAAGCTAACACAAAGACTCAGATTAAGTTGGTTTTACTTTAAAAAGTCATATAAGGTGTGTGGATAACACACAAAAATAAAGAAATTGTATTAAAACCCTTTTTACTCTCTGATTACTGTTGAGTGAGAACAGACTTAACAACTGACCACCACCCCACCCACGTCGCCCAGCAAGTGTTTGGAAGCTATAAATTGCACAGGAGATGACATTTTTTTTTCTGCATCAGAGGAGCTGGTAGATTCAAATGCTCCCTTTTAGGTCGACAGTGCAACTCCTTACCTGCTGTTGTTTTTATGGCCATCGAGTTGGAACTGACCCGTAGCTGACACTGTAGCAGATTCTCAGAATCCCGCAGGAGAACCTTGCCCTTCCTTCTTGCACAGAGCAGCGGGTGGATTTGAACTGTGTGCCTTTGTATTGCAGAGCAGCTTTCTACCACTACCATTAAACCACATCTGCAAAAGATGACACATTCACAGGTTCTGAGTATTGGGACATGGGCATCGTGGTGTATTAACCACATTAGATCATTGTTAAAATTCCTTCTAAAAAAATAAGGATTCCATCTTTCAAAATCCTTGGCTTATTTGAAGATAGAATAACATCTCCTCTTCATTTGTCCCTCATCCTCAAGTATACTTCTATTTATTGAGATGACACTGGCTTTTTTGTATTGTTATTGTCAGCTGTCATCAAGTCAAATAAGACCTGTAAAGCCCCTATGAACAACAGATCTGAACCCTGACCTTTTCTGTATCATCCTCACAGTCTCTGACACACTCGAGCTCATTGTAGCAGTGACTGTGTCAATCCATCCAGGTGACGGTCTTCCCTCTATTGCCAACCCTCTACCTTTCCAAGCATAATGTCTTTCTCCAAGGAATATCCTCTCCTAGAAAAATGCTCAAAGTATGGGAGACGAAGATTTACCATTTTTGCCTGCAAGAGCACTCTGGCTGCCCTTCTCTAACACATATCAAGTTGCTCTAAGACTAGCTGAGTGGGATGTAAAACCACCAACACTCACTCTAGGGTAAAGTCAACCAAAGATACATAGTGTGATGATTTGGCTCAGTGGAAAGAGTTGTGTTATAAACTCAAAGGTTCAACTCTACCATCTTCTCCACGGGAGAAAGATGAGCACTCAACCTCTGTGTGAGTTATAGTCTCTGAAAACTTGCAGGAGGGCCAGTTAGGCATCAGTTCCAACTGAATGGTACCTAATAACAAACAATCTTCTTAACAAGGAGTCTCTGGGTAGTGCAAATGCTTAAGTATTTGTACTCAGCTCTGGTGGCCTAGTGGTAAGAAGCTGCACTGCAATCCCGAAGATAAGCTATTTGAAACCATCAGCCAGCTGCTCCACAGAACAGGCAATTTGCTCCCTTGCCTCTGAAAATTCACTTTAGGGTTAGCTGTGAGTCGGTTCAGATTAGACAGTACATAATAGCAACAACAATAGTAGGAAGAGAGTTCTGGGAACTTGTTGTTTGCCATGGAGTCAGAACTGACCCATCCCTGACCCATCAGTGAGTTTTCAGAGGCAGTAAACTGTGCAAAAAGAGACTGGCCATCCTTTCACTGAAGAGCAGCTAGTGGGTTTGAACCACATGTCTTAGAGATTGCAGTGCGACTTCTTACCACTGGTGTCTAGTGGTAAGGAATTGCACCGCCAATGAAAAGGTTTGTGTTTGGTATCTACCAGCTTCTCTACAGCAGAAAGATGGGAAATCTATTCTAGTGCCTTTTACTGGCTCTAAAAACCACTGGAAGGTCAGCTATGAATTGGTTCTGATTCATCAGTACTCACTAGTAACTAATAGAAAGGTTAGCAGTTTGAATTCACCCACTAATGCCTTGATAGAAAAACATAACAGTCTACTTCCAAAAGATCAAAATCATGGAAAATGCTGTGAGGCACAGTTCCACGCTGAAACACAGGGTGTCACGATGATTCTGAATCAACTTGACATCAACTGGGGTTCCTAGACCTCCAGCATCCTAATGCCCTCTTACTTGCCTCCGAACACCATCTCACCATCTTCTCTGTCTGATCTTATTTCATAATATTCTGAATTCTTAGAACTCTGAGAGCTGATCATGCCCAGTCCCAGAAAATCTCAGGTAACCACTCCTCCCATTTCTACATTTCTGTCTCATTTTCATAATTCCTAGCTTATTATTGTAGTTCTTCTTGGTCCTGACCCTCATCTGTTCAGCAGAAGTGTTACAAATGACACGATCATCCTATTGATGGACCTTTTTATTCAGAATATGAAGCAGAGAAAGAGGTACAAATAATTTATTTCTCTGTATCTTCCCTGGAAAAAAAAACAAACCTTGATAGCCAGGTAAGCATCTACTTTCAAAACCCACTTGGATTTTTGTGAATGAGGACCCTCCACATGGCTGACCCCTTAATGTCACAGAAGAGAAGAACCTCATGGCCTGTTGTCTTTCTTGCTTCCATGAAATCTGTTTCTCTACCTCCGAGAGCCTCCTGCTCCTCTCACCCTGGTGGAGCTTCCGCTCTGTCACTGCTCATCCTGGCTTTCCTTCTCTCCTCAAATCTTTCATTTCCAGTCCATGGCTTTCCTTCTCTCCTCAAATCTTTCCAGTCCAGTCTCTTCTTCTCACCTCTCTGTCTTCCACCTTGAGTAGCCCAGCCAATTTTCAATAGGACATTAATAAAACACTGTGTTTCATAAAACACTCAACTTCCCCTTTCCAGACTACTTAGACGTCAGTGTGGAAAACCATACAATTGGGCTGATGGCACAATCAGCATAGTGGGCGGTCAGGCCAAGGTCTGCTTTAGGTCCTTGCTTCAGCTGGGTTCCACATATGCTCCCGAGACTCCTATTCTGTTGTGATTTTTTTTTTAAACATCTTGCACTGGTTTCTGTTCTTAAATCTCAGCCCAGGGTCTTAGCTTATACATTCCTGAAAAAAAAAATTGAATGCATTAAACCTAACTTTTACTTCCAAATCTATTGACATATTCACCAACCCGCCCCTGTCACAGTGAAATTCCTGCTTGGCACTAATCAATCCTTTGTATATATTTATCTAGTTCTATCAGCCATCTTTTAATTTTTAAAATTCATCTTTTCCATTCATTGTTTCCTTCCACTAGTGTTGCTGTTGTTATATTGTTGTTAGGTGCCTCCAAGTTCAGTATTATTCATAGTAACCATGTAGACAATAGATCTGAACCCTGTCCTACCCCTTTGTGATCCTCACAATCTCTGACACACTCAAGACTATTGTTGCAGTCAATGTGTCAAACCACCTGCTTGAAGATAATCTGTTTTGCTGACCCTCCACATTTCCAAGCATGATATTCTTCTAACCTTTCCTAGCAACATGCCCTAAGTGTGTGAGACAAAGCTTGGTCATCCTTCCCTCGAAGGAACATTCTGGCTGTACCTTCTTTTAAGATGTACGTGTGTCTTCTTTTGGAAGTCCATAGGATATTCATTACTCTTCTCCAAACAATAGTTCAAAGGCATCAATTCTTCTTCTGTCATCTATATTCTTTTTCCTGCTCTCAGATGCACTAGCAAGTGACTGAAAGACAATGGCCTGAATTAGCTGCACATTAGTCCTCAAACTAATATCACTGCTACTCAATAATTTGGCATGGTCCCTGACTGCAATCTTTTCCACAGCAGTACATTTCCTGATAAGATGAAGTCATGTACACTTTCAATCTTTTATGTATCATGATGTTGCCTATCAGACCAATGGTTAGAATTTTCGTTTTCTTGATGTTCCAATGTGATCCATCTTGAATGTGCATTCATTAGTCTTCTGCAGCAAATATTTGAAGTCTTCCTCATATCAAGTTGTCTACATACTGAAAGTTAGAGATGAGTCTTCCTCCAATCCTGACTGAAAGAGGAATATGAAAATAGAATTTTAGTTTTTGAACACCATTTCCAGGTTCTTCTAGTACATTCATTTAAATTACAAATGATATTAACATCTCTGAAATGCAATGACTAGCCATTGCCTGAAATTTCTTACTCTGCTTAAATTGCTTTTAGTAGTTATGGACAATTTTATTTCTGTCTTATTGTTATTAATTATTATTCAAAATGCATAAAAACTTGTGTAAAATAACTTCTATTCATCTGTTACCCAATTACATGTTAATCCATACTTCTACAGGCACATTTGATTTTAAATAAGCTCTGCTCAAGGACAGTGATTTAAAATAATCTAATACCACTTACATTGGTTAATAAATGAGGAAATGTAATTTTAGGCAAAGAAGTGTATTTCAGTAAGATAAGCTCATAAAGACAGTATAACACTGATACTTGTACAGAAAATTAGTGATTATTTGACTCTTTTGTTCTGTCACTGAAAGAAGTAAATTTTATTATTTAATAATTAATTACTAATAGTAATTTACTGACTTACATTTCTAAGTTGTTTCCTTGCTCTTACATGCATGTCATCTCCTGAACTATAAACTACTATTCTGGTTGTAGATACAGTTTGTTCCAGGTTAAAAAACAATGGTGCTATATGTAGTCTGTAAATAGGATTTTTACTATGAGTAGTAAATTAGTCAACAAAGTGTTTACTACTCAGTGATAATTCAGTCTGCCAAAAGCCTAAATAGATTTTCATGTCTTTTCAGTAAGTTGATGGTATCTAATAATTCTTTATAAAATTCTGAAAATGTAGTTGAAATTTAATTTTTTTATGTAGATTTTTACTGGAATCTAGTGAGGAGGTTTGTTGTTTTGTTTTCATTTTAAAATGATTTTAAGTGTTTTTAACTTTTTTTATATTTCTCTTTTTAGGTAGAGGATCAATCTCAGAGCCTAAAAGAGTTTTATCAAACTGAAATCTCTTGGAAGGAAGAGGATGATGCCAAAGCCAAGCATTGGTGTGATTCAGCTGAGAAACAGTGGCAGCTATTTTTAAAGAAGAGTTTTTTCACCCAAGACTTAGGGCTGCAGTTCCTTAATTTAATAAATATGGTGAGCATTACATTAAATAAGTTGCACTTTAAGTATTATTTAAATCAAAAACATAAATAAAAAATCTATTTATTACTAATCAACTATATTGGTTTGAGGAATTTCTTTTTAGCTGCATTCAACCTAGGGTGGGCCTGAAGTCTATCATTTAGATGGTGGCTTGTTCCTAGATCTCTGTTATTTATAACATGAAGGATATTTTAACTATTAATAAGAAAGAGTGCCTACTTGCAGCCCTCAGAAGAATCCCAATCTAACATTTTGAGTCTTGTTGAGAGCATTCAAGAAGGTCTCTATAAAATTTCCAGTGGCTAATGATAAAAGTCCACAGACATTCCTCTGGTACTCTATGCTTTTAGCCAAGATGCATCTGACTTTGCCAATAATGTCTCTAATGCTAAACCTTTGCTAAACCCAGCTTGTATTTCTGGTAGTTTTCTGTGAATGTACTGTTCCAGTTGGTTTTGGATAATCTTTAGCAGGATTTTGCTTGTGTGTGATATTAGCGATATTGTTTGATAGTTTCCACACTCCATCAGATCACCTGTTTTTTAGAATAGGAATAAATCTGGATCTCTTCCAGTCAGGTGGAGCACATCCAGGGCAACATCTGTCTGTTGAACTATGTCAATTGGTATACCATTAATTCCTGGGGACTTGTTTTTTGCCAATTCTTTCAGAGCAGCTTAAACTTCCTCCTTCCTTACCATTACTTCTTGATCATATATTGTTTAAGGAAATTCTTCTGTCAGTCAATTCTTCTTGGTACAGTCACTTCATAATTCTTCCACCTTCTTTTAATGCTTCCTGCATCATTCAATATTCTGCCCATAACATCCTTAAGTATTGCAACTCGAGGCTTGAATTTGTTCTTCAGTTCCTTTGAGTTTAAGAAATGCTGAGCAAGTTTGGCCCTTTTTTATTTTCTGACTCTAGTTCTTTGCACATTTAATTATAATACTTTACTTTGTCTTTCTGAGGACTTTGAAATCTTCTTTTCAGCTCCCAGAACATTTGATTGTGCCCATGCAAAACTTATGCCTGGGCCAAGAGGCAGTTGTCAGAACAGAGCAAGGAAACACTTTATGGTTCAAAATTAGAAAAAGAGTGAGTCAGGGATGTGTCCTGTGTCATACCTTTTCAATCTATATGTGGAACAGATCATTCAAGAGGCTGGACTTTGTGAGGAGTGTGGCATCGGGACTGGAGGAAGACTCATCAACAACCTGTGTTATACAGATGATACAACCTTGCTGAAACTGAGGAGGACCTGAAGCATTTGCTATAGAAGGTCTAGGAGTGTAGTCTTCTATATGGCTTGAAACTCAACATCAAGAAGATAAAGATTCTCACCACTGGGCCAATTAGCAGCATCATAGAGGGAGAAGAGATTGAAGCTCTCAGCTTCTCTAACAACACTTTTGGCACCAGCAATGAGGAAATGAAAAGACAAATTGCACTGGGGAAGTCTGCTGTCAAGGACCTCTCCAGAGTCCTGAGGAGCAATGAGTCTCAGTCTAGAGACTAAGGGGAACTTGATCCAGGCCATGGTCTTCACAATTACAGGCTGATCATCAGAGAGCTGGGCAATGACTAAGGATGATAGAAGAAGAACTGATGCCTTTGAGTTATGGAGCTGGAGAAGAGTATTGAACATGCCATAGACCATCAGGAGAACAAATATGTCTGTCTTCAGGATGGTGAAACTAAGTTTCCCCCTTCAAGGCAAGCAGTTTGAAGCTCTGTGTGACATACTTTGAACACATGGCCAGGAAGGGCCAGTCCTTGGAGAAGGATATCATCTTTGGAAGGGTGCAGGGATGGCACAGGAGAGGGAGACCCTGGATGAGATGGATTGACATGATAACTGTGGCAATGGGATGAAGTGTGTAGGTGTCAGTGAGACTGGCTTAGGATAGGGCAGGGTTCAGAACTATTGTACATAGGGTTGGTATGAGTCTCAGGTGGTTTGATGGCACATAACAACAACAATAGAGTGCAGTACGTATAGCTTGAAAAGTGTTTTGCTATAGCAGTTCTTTCTTTTTAGTAAGGCTCCATCACATTTAGTGATGTACACTAAAGTTCGTTGTCCTGAGTTATACCTATAAAATATAATGGAATTCTTTCATTACCTTTGATGTGTATAAAGCTCCTTATAGAATTCTTTCCTTATGGTTACTCCACCTCTCCTTTGAGAACACAATTATCTTCCTAATAAAACTTAACCATTCTATTGCTGGAAAATATCAGCTTCTAGAAAACATTAAAAAAAAAAAAGTTAAATCAACTTTATCTTATAAATTTATAAGCTAGTCTTTAGTAGCTACACAGGATTGGTTTGGGGTTTTTTTATAAAAGCATTCACATTTAAATACTAAATATGTCCATCAGACATTGAAAGATACTGTTTCTAACCTAAGGAAGTTTATTCTATACTTAAACATATAATTTCATTCTACTATTTGTGAAGTAGCTTAATCTCTGTTTCCCTCTCAATATCCCTTACATGGAGTCTCTAGGGTTTTAAAAACATAAAATTTAAGTCTCTCTTTCCTATGCCCCTCCCACCGAAAAAAGAAGCTGCAACATTGTACTTCACACCACATACACTAATCTGGATGCTATTCTTTACTAATGAGACTAAATATTATGCTAACATTTTAAATAATAATTTTACTTTGCTGGCTTATTTTAAGTTCATGATTGAGTAAAATTTCCATAACACTATTAGTGCAATTTCTATCAAGCTAGGTCTCTCTCATCTTATTTCTGTATCAACATCTTTCTCATGCAAATGAGGACTTTTCTATTTATTATTGTTAAATTTCTTTTGTTAGTATTCACCTATAATTCACATGTTATCTGCTGCTTCCAGGCTTTAGTTCTATAGATTTGATCAGAATGTTTCCTAGAGTTGCAATTTGACCTTTAATCAACTTAAAACTCATTGTCATGGAGTCAAAACTTACTCATACATAGCCCTATCTAGGTTTTTGAGGGTATATCACATGAGGAAAATAGAAAGGAAACTTTCTACAGACTAGGCCAGCAGAACCAGAACCAACTCAGAGTTGACCTTCTAGTAGATTTTGAGAGGCTATAAATTACATAGGAACATATTGCCCATCTTTCTCTTGCAGAGAAGCTAGGGGATTTTAATTGTGTGTCTTTGAGTTGGCCACAAAACTCCTTATCCACTAGACCACCAGAGTTTCAAGATTTTTAATAGAGATGTGTAAACAGGCAAATTGTCATCCTAATTCATTATCCAATCAGCTGATAAGACAATTTAAAATTATTATAAAAACTTCCATTAGTACCTTAACCACTCTTATGCTTAAGTATATAATGGGAGGCTCCTCAAAAATACACTGTTAAAGGGGAGCTCTGGTGGCCTAGTGGCAGGGAACTGCAACTACAATCCCAGAGGCGCAGGGTTCGAATCCACCAGATGCTCTGCCGGGGAAGGAGGGACAATCTCCTCCCGTACCAGTCAGATTTGATTTGACAGTACACGCACACAAAAATAAATAAAAAATAAAAAATACACTGTTAAAAACAAAGTATATGTACCTAGTATCCTATCAATTCATGAATTTAGCATAAATCATATTGATCCCTAGTGATCAGGGAATTCTTTTCAAAATGCTCACAAGTTGTTTGATAAGTAATTATATTAGGGAAGTACGTTGGGAGTGGGAGAGGCAAAGAATATCACCCAGTGCAAGTCGATATAGTCAAACAGTCCCAAGCCAGCAAAACGTATTTCCTTAACTCTTAAAAGTCCTGGTGTCAGTTCAGCAACATCAACTTGAGAAGCCTCTGGTTTCCTCAATTACCCAGCAGTTAGAATTCATCTTCTCTTTCAATCACCAGCAAGACCAGCAAAACCTTTAACTATGGTCTTTATCTCAGCATTTCTCTGGTTACACCTTGCCACAGTTTATCCACAGCAATGGCACAGTCTCTCCATCACCATCACCAGGCTGTCACTCGCACCAGGGTCTCACTTTCATCAGTCTTACTCCAGTATCCTTCAAGTCTTGTCACTTAGTGTGGAAAGCTCTCTTTCTCTCTTTTACCTTAGTCCCACAGCTGTTGATAATCTGGAAGACCATGTGTCTGCATTTAATTTAGTTGGAGCCCAGAAAGGGCTAAATGTAATGGCTAGAAAAGTCAACCTTTAAACTACACTGCCTTCTAATTTTTTCCTGTTTTCTTTCTGATGATCTTTATGGTTTTTTATTTTACCCCTAAGTTTCTGATCCATTTTGTGTGGTGTTTTGTGTGTGGAGTAAGATGTGAATCCTGTTTCCATTTTCTGCAGGTTGTTGTTGTTATCTGTCGCTAAGTCTAGTATGACTCATAGCAACCCTAAGAACAACTGACCTGAATCTCATCTTATCCTGTGCTGTCCTCAATATTTATAATACACTTGAGCCTATCACCACAGTCACTGTGTCAATCCATCTTGCTAGAGGTCTTCTTCTCTTTCACTGATGATCCTCTGCCCTTCCAACCATGATATGCTTTTCCAAGGAATAACATCTCCTAGCAACGTGTCAAAAGTATGAGAGATGAAGATTAGTCATCTTTGCCTCCAAGGAGCACTCTGGCTGTATCTTTACCAAGACATACGTGTTTGTTCTTTTGGCAGTCCATAGGATATTCCATACTTTCTCCAACACCACATCTCAAAGGCATTAATTATTCCATCATCCCGTTCTCAGATGCAAAGCAAGATATTGAAAAGATCATGGCCTGAATCAGGTGTCCCTTAGTCTTCAAACTGACATCAATGTTTTTCAGTATTTTGGAGAGATCCCTGAGAGTGAACTTACCCAATAAATCTCCTTATTTCTTGATTGCTGGTACCAAGACTATAGATGGTAGATTCAAGCAAGATTAAATCAGTAATAGTTTCAATCCATTCTCCATTTATCATGATGTTGCCTAGTGGTAAGGACTTTTGTCTTCATGCTGTTTAGATGCAATCC